TACTGATCATAGTCGATCTTCTTGAGTACTGCGGGACCAACATGAGTGGCTACATTATCGCGAGCGATAATCTATCGTTCGGTAAGATATGCACGTCATTTAATGAACTATCAATTTAGACACGTTAGCTTTGCTATCTTTACCTTAGTTTTCTACACGGAGCGAAGTAACTTATGTAGGGAGCGAAGTCACTTATTTGATGGAGCGATCTAACTTTCGAGTGGAGCGATCTAACTTTTGGTTGAAGCGATCTAACTGGGAACGATGTAACCGTGGTGCGATCTAACCGTAATTCTTCCACCAAATAATTATAATGACCCTATAATAGGTTACATTGGATTGCTGCGTGAGGGATTTGAGGCCAAAAGCGTTTACTGCTATTATATCCGTGTTACCTCAGTGAGCATATATGTAAGGGAACCCAAAAGGTCCATGAATATTGCCGAACAATTTTAGAACCTTAAGCTGTTGGTCTGAAAGGGAGTTAACGCCACTGGAGGTAATTTTGTGTAATTTAGCTGAATTGCTATTTCCTCAGTGCGCTCAAATTGATAAAGCAGCCGGCTCTTGTTGTCAAAACGACAGCCGCTTGTACGACCGACAGAACAAGGATGATTTCTAAGCATTCATCACTGCCCTGACGGAAATTAGTTACTTGAGAGGAAAAAAAGATGTTACAGAAAGTTTTGTTGTTCAGTGGTGGTGTTAAAGACGAATGAACGGTTAAACGTTTGTCTCGCGATGTAAGAGTAGTCAGTCTAATCAATCGTGTATTGATCGCGATGTTTCGAAAGTCATACTGGATATACTGCTAGTTTTCGCCGAAGGCGAAATGAATATTATTGAATAATCCTCGAGAAGAAGTGGAGGTGATTATTCAACAATATATATACTGAGTCTGAGGCGAGTAATTGTTTTAGTATAATTGCTCAGGTGCTTTCGAGTTGTGTTGTAGATTCATTCTGATGTTGACACCATTCCGTAAATAAAGAAAACTTTGCGTTACAATTGTTTTCATTATTTGCATCAAGATAAGTAGCCTGTTTCCTTTAGAATTTTACAGCGAAATATATCCTACTTTTGAAAAGGGTTGCACCAAACTTAATAGCATCTTTTGTGCTTTCCAGAATTGAATTTCTTCTACTGTGTTTACCATTTTCTCGGTAACGTTGACAAAACGCGAGACAGCCATTTTGAAATTTAGCGCTCAAGCTACGATCCCCAAACACGAGGTGATTATAGCGAGATATGGGACAATCTTTTACCAATCAGAGCGTGTGCATCCTAATAATCACCAGAGCAATTTACACTAAGGGTCGTTATAGCTAACCTGTACATGGAAAAGTTTGAGGAACAGTCGATGATTACATCACCTCAAAAACCTAAGATCTGGAAGCGATATGTAGATGACACCTCTACCATCTTAGATCTAAATGACGTTTAGAGCTTATTACAACATTTAAATAAACGAAAGCCTTCTATCCACTTCCTGTGGAAGTCGAGAAAGCTAACACCATTCTGGACATGTCAGTTTGTCGGGCCGCCGAGGGTTAGCTCAGCACCGGCATGTTCAGAAAACCTAGTCATACTGACCAACACTTAGCTTATGAATATTACCATCCTCAGTCAGTAACATGGATTATTGTGAGGTTTGTCTATACGACCGGGCCAAACACCTTATAACACCTTATATCACCAGTTCTTGTTGTTAACAGAAATCCACCCTCATTTGTGCGAAAGATTACAGAGACAAAAGGATCAACAGTCAATGAGAAGCCCACACATGATTTCAAGTCTACTGCGGTTCTATCCTACATTAAAGGTGCCTCAGAGATTCTTTACCGCTGTCTTCAACAACAAGGCGTGTACACCATCTTTAAATCTAACACAACTATCAGGTACGACCTGAAGATCCCATCGAGTTAGCGAAACGAGACGGCGTTTTTTACAAAATCCCGTGTGAATGTAGCAAGGTGTACATCGGAGAAACAGGGAAAGTGATGAAAGACTAGAACAAATAACATGAAAGAGATGTGCGGTGTACTTGCACCCAGAATTCGGTGGTTTCAGAACACGCCAATGAAACGGGACACATGGACACGTTTCTGTTTGGAATCAGGTTAGGTGTATTGTATACGCTGGTATACACGAAGGGTTAAAGAAGCCATCCACGTGAGACTTTATCCTTAAAACGTCAATAGAGATGACGAAATTGAAATTCCTGAGCCGTGGATACCTAGAAAAACCTTAGCAGCTGATTAGTAACGGAGCGGACCTACGAGGGAACAACATATTTCTATAAGTAATAATAAGGATCGAAATGCTCGCTATAACACCAATAACAACTTTGGACCTCGTCGCTTGACGAAAACTGGCAGCATAGCAGTAGAAACGTCGCGATCAATGCACAATTGATTAGCGCGAGTCTTACAACCCGAGACACGACAGTTATTAAAAAAAAGAACGATTTTGCACATCCACATATCCCTTTAACATTTTGGTAAACAGAAACCTGTATTAAGTGTGCACCTTTGTGAGATCGTTTATCAAAGGTTGTGATTAATTGCGAGGTAACCACAAGCCTTACTTCTGTTTTCTAATACGTAAATCTTTCATTATCATCAGCCACTTCAGGAGATTAATTACATGGAGCGTCTCTCTCGTTTCCATGGTGAATTGTTGGAAAGGAAGGTGATTGCAATTATGACTGGAAGCAAGTTAGCCGTGCGTTCTGCTTGTTTTCCACCTGACATGCTTCACTATCGCAAAGTGTCCGTTTAACAGAGGTGTGGGTCACAAAATAGCCCACAGGATCCAAGCCTTTTGGTGGAGGTGTCGTTGAATTCCGTATTCACCATTCAAAAAGAGCGACTAAATTATTACCAAGGAAAAGTTCTGTTTATTTACAAAGATAATTCCAACAATATTTTACACAACGGCATTGGTAAAACCCTCCCTATTTACAATCTACATTCTCCACTACATTAGTCGACCGAAAATGATTTCAGGAACTTGTGTGTTACTTCTAGCTTTTCCAGGGGTTTTGCTCCTGATGTACCATCTGCAGTTTGCGCCAAGTCTTCTGATTCGTTTTCAAAGCCATCTGCAGGAAGAGCAACGAAACAATGAATGAGAAAGTGGAGCCAAGGTAATGAGTATATAACACGCATTCTAAGGATTGCTAAGGTCATGGACAAAGATTTAAGTGACAAGACAGGAGCATTGATTCTCAGCTAGGAAACAAATCTTACGCACTGATAGTTGAAAACTATTCACCGAAGTGGAGGAGAATAGTTGTTTTAGTTCTTAGAGAGGTACTATAGCACAAAAAGATTACTTTAAATCATTTAATTGCTGCAACGATTTCAATATTTTCGGGCACAAAACCTGCGCGAGTTGGTCAGAGGTGAATAGCATATATTTGGTGTTTGAGTAGCTAATCAGAGCGTGCTTTCGACGCTATCCACTGTTTTAGTATATTCTGACAACAAAAATCCCAAGAAGTACGTGAAAATGCTACAAAAAGCATGGAAATATCAATATACTCACCCGTGCTATTTCCACCTTTCTTTCCCACATGTGAACCTGTAAAATGTGACATATCATTTATGATAAAAACTTCATACTTTGGAAAAACCTGATTTTTTGGCTGCCTAACATAACAATTAAAGTTTCATTATGAGAAAACACTAAATCAAACAAAGAGAGCAGTCTTTAACCTAATCAACTACCTGATCATTCTATTAGACGAGTAAAGGGATCTCCTTTAAACGCTTTAACAAAATATTTGATTTGTTTGACAACCTCTGCTTTAAGGATAAAAGGAAGTTCATGCTTAGTGATGCTCTTGAATAGTCCAATTCACAATCTTGTGCTTCTTTGCCAAGCCTTTGAACCATAGTAAGGCTGAGGGGGAACTCAATATTATAGAGATGGGGAACTAGTGAGCATAACAAGAGAGCCATTAGCTATGAAAAACAGCTTGGTCTATATCATAACAAGGTTACCTCCAGCCAAAAACCTATTCAAGAGTTTTATGACAAGAAAAAAAAAACTGAAAATGGACTACACACACAAAACTGGTTAGCAAACAAAGTATGGGAACTTACAGTTTTGTTGAGTTCGTACAGGTCTGCTCGTTCAGTAACATAATCCAAAACCTAAAAGACAATGTATTGTGAGATTATATTAGCTTCTCATCATATGCACAGCAGCTGTATCAACTTGACAGAGGTTACAGCAGTGAATACTCACATCAGGTACTTTGTAGTCCGCAAGTTGTTGTTTCAACTTTGAGTTTAATGTCTCTGCTTTTGTTCGCTCCTTAAAAGTAAGAACAGGTAAGTTTAAAAAAAAATTGCATTTGGATATGCTGTGAAGTTGGGTTTCATGGAGAATAAGAAATAATCTTTTTTGGTTAGGGTGAAAGTCATTAGAAAACTTCACAGAGTCATTAGGAAACTTCAACACTTTCAAGATACCCTGTTCATTACCAGGGGTATAATTAAAGAGCCTGGGGTTAAAGTGAGTGAGAGCTAAAAATTCCAAACAGAAACCAAGTTCTACTGTTTTGCTGGAAGTATAAAAAAAAATTTACACTGATAAAACATCATCTGAGTGCTTCTGCTGTGAATGGCCTTTTTTTTTTTTTTGGGTAATTGTCCACCTCAATTATTCCCAAACCAGAAGCCCTTAAAAGAAAGAAAGAAAAAAAAACTAAAAAACACAAATGAGCAATTGAAGAGAGCAAAGTACCTTTTCAACCATATGTGTTTCTGTATCAATCTTAGATAGCAGCTCATTTCTTTGCTGAATTTCTAGTTTTAACCTTGAGGACTCCATTGTCAGGGTGTGCAACTTTTTCTTGTATGTGTTGAGAATTTGTTGTACATTGCCATCCATAAGTTTAAGTCTAAGTAGATCTTGATTTTTTTCATCAATCTTTTCAAGGTATTGTTGGTTTTCAATTTTCAGTTGATTGAAGTCCACCTCGTGTAGAACTTCACCCATTTCTTCTTTCTGGAATAACAAACACACTCAGTTCATTTCAATGAAAAAAAATACATCTCCTCATAAGTATGAAGTATATATCACAAACCTGCTTTAGTTGCATGTGCAGTTTCCTCTTTTGAACCTTCAGTGTTGAGTTTTTAAGTCTCAACTTCTCGATTGTAGTATCCTAGAAAAGCAAAATTTGGATATTCAGTTGAAGAATCTATATATCCACTCAAAATACATTGGTCAATAGGTGGCAACAAGTTTGAAATCAGAGTATCTAAATGACTCTGAGGTAACAAAGCAAGCCCAGAGTTCAGAGTTGTTCTTCTCAATGTTTACAAAGACTAACATAGGTATATTTTACGAGGTCCACAATAGATGCACACACTTCAACAAAATGTAGAAAAAGTTTGGATATAGCAAAATAGTTTCCATTGTTCATAAAACTCTAGCTGGTGTATTTAGTGATACACCTGAATGTACATTTGTGCTAAGAAAAAATCAAATTCTCATGGACTAACCCTCGCTCTCAGTTTATCTTCAATGTATCTTGTGACTCTCTCTGCAATAACTTTATTGGTTCTCTGCCAAATAGAAATAAAAGAACAAGTCATTTATGATTTGTAAAATGTAAAAGAACTGCTTGGATCTAAAGTAATTTATTGATTAAGCTTTCTCCAATTCTAACAAACATACACACAAATGCAGTACCTGGTTTACAGCTCCTTTGACAACATCTCTCTCAAATTCATAAGAGACCTTCTTAATTTCAGCACTTCGAATATCTGCCTCTTCCATGACAGCCTTGAAGCCAAAAAAATATGGTAACATTATGATCTCCCCTTCCTGTTCTATTACAATTTAAAGAATTTCCATATGTTTCATTTGATGTAATCATCCTTCATGAGACTATTTTAAACTATGACATTGACTACCTCCCAGTTGCCTTGCAAGTTCCCATTCATAGAAGTGCTTCTGCAGTATCCCAGGATTTTCATTGGTTGGAATGCCATTCAAGGCACACTTTTGTTCAGTTAGTTCTCCTTTTAAATCATAAAATGACATTACTTTCCATGACTCTTTTTTCAGTTGATGTTTACTATGAATTCTGGTAGAGAGGTCAGTCCCAAAAGTGCCAACAATCATGTAATGAAGGCATTCCTTTTCTATTTTTGTTTCCACAACTTTCAATGATCCACATTTAAATTTCAAGGCCCAGGGGGCCTTCAATGACATATGAAAAACCCTGTATTGCAAGATACACATACCCGGAAGTTATCAAGGATCTTTTCAGATTCATCCCTGCGTTTCTCAATGTCATCTCTAAGTTCTTCCAGTTCACGCTGGGCAATGTCACATTTCTGCTCTGCATTTAATTTCAAATGCCTTTGGGGTGGGAAATTTGTTACATATAAAAATTAGTTTGTTTTTCAAACACTTTTCATAAAATCATCAAAACAGCTTCTTACACAACTAACAAAGGATCAAAAACATTCAAACAAGTCTTTAAAAAGGAGTCTATGTTATGGGTTAGAAGGGAATTCAGGTCAAATTGATTTCAAACTGTGTTGATTTGTAAGTTTCTTTTTTTTTAAGAACCACAACAATTTATTGCAAACAAAGTGAAATAAAAACTAGTCAGACTATTTTATTATCAAGAGGGTAAGTTTCTAGAGGAACTGTGGTGCTGCGTCGGTGGGAGAGTATAACATGGTAATCGAGTATTATCAACTGAGTTGATAATGTAAATTGGCCACTATAAAGAGTTTAGAAGCTGACCTCTTTATGGTAGCCAATTTACGTCATCAACTCAGTTGATAATACTAAATTAACCCTTTTTTGTAATCATTTTGAATTGAATTTATACTACAACATTTCTATTGGGAAAAGGAATAATGCATTGCAAATATCATATTTTCCTTTGCTTGTTTGTACATTAATTTTATTAATTCTCTTACCTGTCTAATGATGGTCCTCTTGATCTTGATCTCTTTCTCAGTCCTCTATGACTTTGTTCAATCACAGGTTGGGTTGGGCCTTGAGTAGCTTCAATGAAACATTTGATTATGTGCTTACTGGATCATTTCTAGTTAACTTACTATTTAATTGCAATGTAAATCTCTATCAGCATGATTTTAGCACATAACACTGTTTAAAATAATCGCTTACACCTTCCCCTGTATCAAACACCAAGGAATAATCAAAGATGGGAGGAAGAGAAACAAATTTTTTTTACAACTTACTGGCTTGCTGGAGTCCAATGTCCTTCGGATCAACTCTCTTGAGGAATTTCTCAAACATCGTAGTCTCGTTTTTGAGAACATCATTGGCATGTCTAAAAAGGACCATACCGCAGTTAATCGAGATTTTAGTACTAGCAGTAGTCAGAATTATTCGCAAAATGTAACTTGATAAACAACCCCCTTCGAATCAACAATTACACCAAGTTAATCTAAAACTGTCCTTTTAATTCTCACTCTTTCATGCTTTGCCTCTTTCTTGTTGTCACCATTTATCACAATTAGTATTTTTCTACTTGTTATATCTTCAACTTCCAACGCTTTTTACATTAATTAACTGAAGATGACAGAAGTTTCTGACGAAACATGTTTTACAAACTTAAAAGTTTTGTCGTTTACTTCCAATTCTTAACTTGATAAACAAGGTAAATTTTACTCAAAAGACAAGAGCAACTTTTTTGCGAAACAGTAATGAACATGGTGATAGAACCTTACATTTTGCCCGTTAGAGACCACCAAACAAAGTTGCAACAAATGCTACATACAAGTAAGCAAGCTGAAGACTTATGACCAAAGTCAGTTATACCTTTGTTCCATTTATTCTCTAAACATCCATCCTTCAGATTTAAAATAATCACTTCAGAGCTTGTCTTGTACTTACATTGTTTCCTGTACGAGATTGTAAAGTTCTTCGTCAGTGAGTTCCGCCAAAGGCTCTTCATCGTGATCCAAAGAACTACTAACATCCACGTCGGACATCGCCATCTTAATTTCCTTTCGGTTGCTACGACGAGACGTTACCATGGCAAACATACAGCCCATGCAACCGAGGCTGGGTCTGTACATGGGCATGGGATCGAGGCGGAACGTTTCTAAACGTTTGGCGGCCATCTCTGAGGTTTTCAAGAAGTTGGTAATTTTTGCAATCCGGTTGCATCTGGTAACTTCAGCTTGCAACCATGAAACTTGTTAGGTAAGCCGACTACGAATTTAGCGGTGCCTTTTTGCGAGGTCGTACAATATTGCTTGCTTTATAACTATAATGATTATCTTCATTTGGCGTCTTCTCCTTAAAAGGTTTTTGATGAAACTAAGCCATGAAACGGTGACAATCGAACTAAAAAATGGAACAGTTGTTCATGGAACTATCACAGGTGAGTATAAATGCAGCTAGAGCGCGATATGCGTCTGTTTATTTTCTGCAGAGGCAAATAGCAAAGACATGTTCTTAGGTTGATCAGGAAGCTTACATTAACCATATGTAGACAACGTGGATTGAGCCTCAATCTCCTATTAGGTGGTATAAATCTAAATACATGTTCGCTTTTTAGTTAATTTTAACTCTCCTTAGCTCAGATACCTTGATTTAGCTGGCAGATCTTTTCCAGAGATAAATTTTACTAGTCATGTTTACGTGGGAAAGTTGTTGCCAAAGCTGAGTTTCCAATGCCTGGCATGGTTTTTATCTTTGTTTGGGTCATGACCTCAGCAATATCATGAAATATTTCCTTCTTACAAGCTTCAGAATTATTAATGTTTTCTCTGAAGTCCCCGTGCAAGGAGACATTTTCCTTAGTAACTGTTGTATGGGTGTCATAATTATCAAACAACAGACACAATGATATTTGTGGTTTGATTGTCCAGGTGAGGATAGTCCTGTTAAGGGTTGTCATGACAGCAATATATGACTAAACAGTATGATCAGAGGTCACTGTCAGAGTCAAGTAGAGTTTTTGTCAGTAATGTGGTAGGTCAATTTTTGAGAAACTCTTGTCAGTTGGTAAGCTGGGGTTTCAAGATCCATCCTGGTTAAGGTGCTGGACTTGTTATCTGGTGGTCCTGGGATCAAGTTTTCCATCCTTGGCCACCCCAAGTTTAACTCCTCCACTGTGCAGTGTGAATAGCTAACTGCCTGCCTCCTGCCTGCTGGATTTTCAAGAACTTTATGTATATTTGCAATATTTGTTTTTCCCTCTATCATGTTTCAAAGCTGTATAAATTTTAAATTTATCTATCTAATTTTTTTATCTGTGAACATGGTTGTTGCTATCAGCCAAACATTGAAGAGAGAGTTTGTCTCAGAGGTTGTTTGCAGGTTTAAAAAATACAATTTTGCTGGGTTGATTGACTGATGTGTTGCAACTGTTTCTAGTACCCATACCAGGACCATGTATCTTAAAAATCAACCATCACTTGTGGGCTCAAACTAGTAATTTTGATAAGATGTTGTTTGTCTCCCTATAACTATAGGTGTGGATATGAGTATGAACACACACTTGAAGGCTGTGAAAATGACTATAAAGCACAAGGAACCAGTACAGTTAGAGTCACTGAGCATCAGGGGCAATAATATTCGCTACTTCATTCTCCCAGAAAGCTTACCATTAGACACACTTTTAGTTGATGATGCTCCCAAAGCCAAGGCTAAAAAGAAGGAAGCAGGTATGTTCTTTTATTACTTTACATTCCTTTTGTTAAGTGGTATTTGTAATGGCCATACGAGGACTAATTCTTATGTTATACTGCATTTAAGAGAAAGGCAATGAGAATTTATGTCCCCTGCATTTTGCAGTGAAAGCTAATCATATAAATTTGTTAATTTTTTTTGTACCATGGATATTTTTTCGAGTCCAAACAATGTTGCTTTGAACACACAAGTAAATGAGAAGTTAGGAGGTGAGAAAAATGAGGTCTGCATCTCTATATTGAAGTGCAGATCTGATTTTGGAGTGTGAAGGTTAGAAAAAAGCTTTTAACTTGCTATATTTGCTTTTAATAGCTGCTAGAGGAAGAGGTCGTGCCACTAGTGGGAGAGGCAGAGGGCGTGGCAGAGGCAGGGGTAGAGGAAGAAGGTGATCTCACATTCAGATCACAAAGCTAAAACATTAACATCTAAAACTGGAGGATCCCTCAAGTTACTGTGGCTTTTTTGATTCTAAAACTCTCCTAGAGATGCTAAGAATTATTAAATTGGATCTATGCCAAGATGATATCATTGACAATACTGCACTTTGTTAGTGATAGCAGCTTAAATTAAAATATTGTAGCATTCATAAAGCCAATGCAATGAGGCCACGAGGACCAGTCTTAACTACACTATTTTATAGAGTGTAGGATTGTGGTATAGTGTAGCTTCAATCCAGAGGGATACAGTGGAGTGGCTGTAAGGATTTAACCTGATCTGCAGGAAAACAGGAGTTTGTTAAAAAAGAGAACAGTTTGCATACAAGTTTTTTTGGTTTGTTAGTAAAATGTAAATAAACATTTTGAACTGATTATGTGAGGTCTGTGTCTTCACTAATCAACCTGTTCTGTTGAACTGTCGAATCCAATAGACAGGATAATTTTTAAATTGATGACAGATGAAATGAAGCATTTCTTTATTGCAAGTTGTGTGTTAGGAAGTGCTTCACAATTGATCACATACGGGTGACTGTCTTTTTCAAGTGCATTTGAGCCCTTGCTTACAAAGCTTAGGTAGCTTGCAAGTATGCCCTCATCAGAAATTATTAGTCCTTCTGTGGGAAATCATGAGGCTCCAAGTGACAGGAGCTGACAAGGGGTCTGTCTCTGATAAAGTAGAACTTTTACTGACTTGTCTTGTATAAGGACTTAAACTTCCTTTCAGGGGAAGGAACTTTGGCCATAGGGCTAATAATCAGCTCCTGCTCACAGGCCAAAGTTTTGAAGGTTACTACTTGTGGCTGTGAAGCTGTGGTAAATTTTTTATACAGACAATCTCCAATCAATTAAAGTGCCGTAAGGATTGTTTGATGTATAATTTTCGTTGTCCTCTACGTGGTTTTCACATAGAGATTAGTTTACCAAGGACAGCTATACAAAGTTTCTTCATTGGGGTTGATTTGGCAGGGAGATATTTATGATAATTACCTTGGGTTCTATGCGGAAATAGAAATGAGCAATGGGGCATGGCCCACCTTAGAGGGTGTGTTGTTTAAGCTTTGAGCGGCAGAATTACTCAGTGGGTTGAACGAAGAAAATGCTTATTTTAGAAGCCCTGTTACCTCTATATTCATTGAGTACAAGATCCTAGCAATGTAGGTAAGAGTTACCTTAGAAAGCACCATGAGTAGGGAAATTAACACGAAGTCGATGACCATAAAAACGGAAAAAAGTAGCATAGTGTAGTATAGCATAAGGAACTCAAGAGAATCGCTAATGTCTTCTTTGTTTTACTGTACGTTTTCTGACGCTTTTTCAGACTCCGTCGTCAACATTGTCCCTAAACTACGAACTTAGTCCGCCACACGTGCCAATTTTTCTTGCGCGGGATCAAAGCGGGCAATCTCGAGCGGGAAAGATGAGCCCTCTTACCCACTCGGTAGCCAATCAGAACACAGGATCCTCATACCGCCCACGGGCACTGTCAGCGATATAATAAATAGTACATCCTGAGAGTATGAGGATTACTTAAGGACTGGGCTATTACCAAGGGAATTGGCTCTTACTTGCGCATTCAGGCTCGAGATGAGGCGTAAACTGTACAAGAACTCCCTTTTATTTTCAAACCCTAACACGTGACACTTCACCAAAGGAGAACTGTCCTTTGGTTGACTTTTTGGTCTTTATTACTAACCTGTACCAGAAAGTACTGGAACAGAGTAAGCTAACGCATTGTTAACTTTGTTGATCTACTGCAACCTAATTAATTGTATTTACATCGATTAACATGTAAAGCAAGCACCCCAAGTACACAATCTAACCCACTATACCCGGGACTGTAGTTAGTCTACTTGGATCTGATTAGTGGTAATCAAGGCATACATTATTAAGCTTGGCTGGTTGCAATTCTAATTTTTCCTATCCTTAGAAGTTTAGAACTTCACTTTCAGCAATATAGCCTTTCTATTAGCATTATTTGTTTCAATTACCCTTACCTATCCTTGGTTCTAAATTTAATAGGATTCTACTAGAATTTTGTTAATATTATCCTATGCACGCGAACCATGCAATCAGGTAATTGAAGTATGAGGCCATTTTAGCAGTTACATAAGGAAATGGAAAAATGATTCTGAGTCACTCTCTTTTGTAGGAATTTCGTAATATAACTCACATAGCTAATAGCAACGTTTACAACTGAGGTCTGTATTCAGAGCGCACGCCTCCTAAGAGCCTAAGACACTCATACCAAATACTTTCCAGGAGAAAGTGTGCCGAGAATCAAACTGGTGTAAACATACGCACTGTTTTGAAAGTATGGGCCGATACCGGGTTTTTCGACATTAATATCGACCCTGTGGCGTTATCTAGTTTATCTTTTCGATCTTTCCGAACCAAATACAAGGTTGTCTCGCACTGAAAATAGATTTTTGTCTTATGTCCTATTATTGCATGAACACCACAAACAAACAAGTCGATGATTAAAATCTTAATTTACCAATGTTCATTATCCCTTAACACACCACTCGCAAACACGCAACTAACATTAGAGAAACCGCACACGACAGTGCTCTTTGCCTTTAGGTGATGACCCGAAATAACGCAGGCTCAGGAAGACGTCAAGTATCGTCATTGATAATTCTTGCAGTAACGATATTTTCGGATCCGCCTGTATCGGCCCATCCTTACAGCCTTGTGTTTCAGTCCAACAGAAAGATGAAAGGGAATGTTTATTCGTCAGCTACATTTAGTTTTGAATTTCTAAAATAACTTCAAGAAAACTCTTTTTTTCACAACTATGAAATACAAGAAAGGCGGAAATCTTTTCAGTTTTTCACAAGTCTCCACAGTTTCCCGCCCAGCCAGCTGAACTAAAGAAACTAGATTTCAAGGTATCAGTTCAAGTTGTGTGCTGCTTTTCATACAACATTTTATAGACAGAGAGGTGGGAACTTTTCTCATCAAGAAATCTTCCTTTCTCTCGATTGGCATTTTTCCACTAAAAACACCCACCTCAAACACCCACCTCAAACTCCAAGACCTTCTGAAGTGCAAAGTGGTCTGACCCAGCTATCGACAATTTTTTCATCCATTGATTTGAATTATCTAATTTATCCTACACCTCTATTTATCTTCGCCCGTTCTGCAGTTTTGGCTTATGCGAAGACATATACGCGCAGCTATTATTTACTCACTGATCAACATTTATACAAAAGCAAAAATCCAGCTTAGTTAAACTCGGCCTCATTCTAAACACTATACCATATATTTTACACGTGTAAATAAGATTCATAAAAAATACTCCGACAATTTAACTACCTTTCTTTCTTTAACTTGTTCTTCTTAGTTTTAAGATATTCTACATAAGACTTGCCAGCACCTCGTCTACCAAAAGTTCGAAGATAATTACTATATGCATTGTATTGTAAAGGATTACGGTACAGTGTGGTCTGTCTCCAAGCCACCGGTTGATAAGCCAGTTGGTCGTTAGTTTGTGCTACTGCAGGGTTATTCACTTGCGTAACGTATCCTCTTGGATTTGCAGGAGCCGCATAGTGATAATAATTAGCTACCTGATTCTGATGGTAGTTAGCTGGAACATAGTTGCCGTGAAGAGGTTGTATGGGCGAGAAAAGGGCTTCCTTGGATGGTAGCTGGGGGTGTATATTAGCTTGCTGGTCTGGTGTGAAGGTGTTTTGTGTTTGTCCTACTTCTTTATTGTTCGACATAAATTGATTACTAGGTGTTTTAAGTTCTTGATGTAAAGGAACTACGGACTGGGGAGTAATTGTTAGGATGGCGGGGTTTGAAGCTGTCGAAGTTGTGTAGGTTACCACTTGAGGTGCAATGTATTTCACAGGAGTAGGTGGAGAGGAAGTAAATGTGTAAGTCGGTCCGCTAGGAACTGCTTGGCGAAACTGTGGAGGTGACGGTGATTCGGGCACTGGAACCGAGTCACGTGGTTTTTCAGGGTGTTCAATGGGTTGATGATTAGGTTTTTGTTTGGTTCCATGTATAATAAGCTGCCACTCTGTTAGTAGGCCATGATTTGGTCTGTTATCTCCAAGGTCCTTTATCTCTAAGGTCCACGTTCCGCGTGGGTCCTCGCCCCATGCGTGCGTTGTCATGAAGGGCCACTTTGTGAAACCTTCATCTGAGAGGTCCTCTTTTCTTGGTGACAGCAGGCAAGATTTAGTTCCCATGGGGGATGTCAAGTATACGACAAGGTCCCCTCGCCGTGTGTAGTCCAAGCTTAACATGAGTTGCACGTGTTCAAGGTAGCGAATCTCAGCAGCAGTTCCTGAACATCCATTCGAATGCATTGTTATCTTCAATGGCTCGTTGAATTTGATGGGTCTAGAAAGGCAAGCGTCGTAAGTTATCACTTTATACCGGTTTTGGGATTTTGAATTCCGTTTTGGATTTTTTGTTCTATAAATTTCCTTCGCTTTCTCTATTCGCTGCCTCAGTCATTAATCTATTGCCAGCCAATCAAACTTGACTTGCTTAGTAATGAATTATCACTCTTGTATTGTAATTTCATTGGTTACTTTTTTCAATAAGCAAAATCAGTCGCTCCGTGCTTTTGTTCACAGGAATTCAGCAAAACTTACTTGCGGTCCTGATTGATTTGTCCCCTACAAATGGTCTTCTCAGGTACAGTTTTAAACGTGTTGGGTTTTGCTAATTCCACGATCTTTTCTGCAACTAACAGTCCGAAACCAAATTTCCTATTGACGTGTAATCCGACTCCATTAGGGCTCCAATCCTGATCGTGCTTGAGTGGTTCCCAGTTTGATGTCCACACCACGATATGCTGCACGTCACGCCATGTCAGGCGAGGGCTGTGGCAAAAATGTAACAAAAGAACACTTGGGGAGGGTTCTCTATAGTTTGAGCACTTTGGTTGAAACTCTTGTAAATGTTATAGTTTGTAAAAAAAGGCTAGGATTACAGCGACAGACGGAGAAACTCGAGATAGACCGACAACCTTCCTCTGACACGAAGATGAGATCTTCCTAGTTCATCACTTGATGACAAGTTTGCTCCGTCCTTAACCTTTTGTACTGCTTTGTCAATAACCCTAGTTTGTGTTTGTTTGTCGTTGCAAACTGTAATTTCAAGGTTCTCTTCTGTTTTAATGAACTTGAAAAAACTGAGGATAAATTGGAGCTTGGTTCTCTCTTGAGTGTGTCTAAATTTAGACAGAATTTAGTGTGGCTAAGGATTTGCATTGAAATATTGGAATGAACGCCCATATTTGGTGGTATAAGCTGCCAATTAGAATCAGTCTGTTTTTTCTCAACTAATCCAACGAAACCCCTAGTGCGCTCAATGAGAGAAATTTCCCTCGCTAATAATCGCTAATTCCACTTAGATCTTCCCCATCAGCGAGATTTCTAAAAGCCGTGAAACTAGCTAAGTGCAATAAACTTTACTTGACTTCCAGTGCAAGAGCTATAATTCCTGCTGCCAATGGAGCAGATGCAGAAGTTCCTGTATGTCTTTCGGTGCATTGGTTATGTAAATCTGTCGTGACCTGAAAATGAAAATGAAAACCATCGAGGGCTTGGAGTCTCTTAAATGACACGCTTTGACTATTATGGCTCAGTTTTTGCAATTAACCGCTCCTTTTTCCGCCTGTTTTGATCAGCCCTGGAGACCTTTACATTTTTCATTGGAGTAAATTATAAGACGAAAACCCGGTCATTCTACCGTTTACGATCAACAAGCAAAGCAAGCTCAGCAGACTGGACAGAGCTAAACTAACAACAGTGTTCTTGCAGATAAGATTTTTATTCTTGCAAAATCCCATGAAGAATGATCGGCTGCGACCATTAGCTTTTCCTAAAATCGCTCTGTTTTATGCTCGCACTGTTTGGGAAAACCCGACATGGTAGTATACTTACGATTCGTTTCTCGCCGTGCGCTCCGCTACTGAATGTTGTCGCCAGTGTAGATGAACAGCTTTCTGAATACCAGGGCGACTCGCCATGATCGGAAGCAGAGCTGATCGACAGGGTGTATATACTGTCTGTGTAACCATCACAGTTGCAACTATCCTCGTGCCGACCTCCATTGCCTGACGCCCACACGAAAATAGAGCCCAGTCCGCCGCGACCCTATATCAAGTCACATACAAACAAGCCAGATTATCATACTTTCAACTCGCTATCTCTTTTCTGATTGGCCGAAAGCGTGCAGTGAATTTTTGAAATCAGCGCCTGGGACGTCATCTCGCTGAAGATTATACAATAATCATGTCAAGGACACTCAAGGTCACGGGTAGTCAAGTTCGCGCGCTTTGTGTTGCTCGCTGGTTTGTATATTTTTACACGTTTAGAAATAAATTATCACTTCCACTTGCTGTCGTGACCAATTTTTTTTCATTCAATGTACAATAAAACAATTATTGGATTCGGTTTTTGTGACATCCAGAATAATCAAGGTCTCGATAAGGGTTATCAGCCGAAGCCTAAGACCTTGATTATCCTGGATATTACAAAAACCTTATCCAATAATTGTTTATAATCAGTGCTCCAATATCTCACAAGACTCTATCGACATATAACGCTGATGCACTCTGGTCGAGTAAAGGCTCAGTGATTTCAAGCTTAAGTTCACTTACGTCATGATTGTATGTTAGCAGCTAATGTTTCTCCTCCTTGCAACCAAATAACCTATGATTAGTTGGTTTGGAGATTCTGCAGATTTTTCGGATTGGGAGTGCCCAATTCGTATGTAACGTATCACCGTTTTCTATAATCGATGGAGGATTAGAAAGATAAGCCGCATCATGAGCTTTTGGGGAGCGACGTGAGACGTTAGAAGATTGTGATTTTAATGCAATTTTTTGTTCTAAGTCGTTTATTATAGTCCATAATGACTGTTGTTATTTTGAGGAGCCATTGTGATGGTGATGCACAATACCTTTGTGATTCCATTTTCAAATGCAGCAGCGGCTAGAGTTCCAGGTCCTTCCACAGTGGCTCCGTCATCGCTAGGTCCCCAACTTGCAGAGTAGATGTCAATGAACTGGGGATTAAGACTTAATGACGCGGCTTCTACTTTGTCAGTCACTCGGCCGTCAAGCATGCGCACTCCTGTAAAAAAATTCCATGCTATATGGATCAATTACGTATGGTGCGATAACGAAAATGTCACTGAAAGGCCAAAAACGTTCGCAGATTATAATGAAGAGTTCTCCTCCTTTATCATACTTAAATTTACACTTTTTTAAGAATTTCCCAGCTCTTCGCAATGATAAAGAAACTAGGCTTCCCTGATAAAAAGCAGCAAAGGAAAAAAAAGCTATGTCAACCAGTAATGCCGATTTTTCTACCTCCTATCTTCGCATTGTAAGCCACGCCCACTCCACAAATGGTGTTGTTCGCCTGAGCCGCAACTTCCCCTGCACAGCGGGTGCCGTGTCTACAAAAGAAAGAAGTTAACGACATAAAGGCAGCTGTCCTCCCTTCAAGTTTTAAGCAGACTGTCTACAACCAGGTGAACACAATGCGGAAGTCATGCAATGATTGCGAGTAGAGTTAGGAATGACTTACTTATTTTCATTAGTAGGATCATAGCGAGGAAATGGGTCACCATCTTCTCCATTTACATCCCAACTGGCCTGCGGATCCTGTGGAGATCAAATTGACAGGATTCATTCATAGAAGTGCACATCCCGAACCTAAAGATTTATAATTAGAGCTTTTTATCTGTACATGCAGTTTGCACCCAGCGTAAAACCGGCGAGTTTCACTTACATAGTTTCTGATGAGGTCCGTATGATTGTGTTCAATACCTGAAGAATGGCGAACAAAAGTAAAAAAAAAGAAAAAAATGACGATCAGACTTATTAACTGCAACACTGAGTTAGTCCATAACAAATAATAGCGGTACATCATTTCACACTTCATCGAGTACTTTTTGCGTTCACTGACTCCTTGGAAACAAAAGCTTCAGAATGTCTTTTTTAGATCTGTTTTGTGAGATTTTGTTTAGCTGCAACAGAAACGATTATCGTCGGACTCGTGAACACGGAAAGTCCGCTTACAAAAGATTTAGTTATTGCACTTATTCGTGGTAAAATTAAATAGCACTATGTAGTTAAGAGGAGGAAAAGTCTTTGTACCATCATCCAGAATTGTTACGACAACGCCTTTTCCTGTGATCCCTTGATTCCAAACAGGAAGAACATGCACATCTAAATCCAGATCCGCTCGTTTGTCATCCTGTCCGATAAAGATAAATTGGTCTGGTTAAGATCTAAGTCAAATGATTTTACCAGCATTTAAATATAAAGGTTTTGTCTACGATTCAATCGAACTCGAGCGATTTCTCTGATTCGAAGAAGGGGTCAGCTGGGAGTGAAATATTTACGTTTTAATAAACTTGTCTTTCCAGAATCTTGAACAGGAAAAAAGCTGCACATGCAGTTCCTATTCATTAGTCAAATTCACGAAAAACCTCCTACAGATTTTAGATGAGGCCCACGCAGTTTAAGTCACAGCGAAGAAGCAGTTTCAACCTTGTTATAGTTTCGCTTATAAATGTTTCTTGAGATCACAGTATATTCTTTAAAATGAATGTAAAACAAGTTCTATACATCGGGAGAAACAAATGCTAACCACTTTAATGTTTCTATTTCTCACAATGTGCCATTTCGGAATTAAGTACGTTACATGAATAATAGGGTAAGCTTCTATAGCAACTGTGGTAGTATAACAAGATAATTTGATTTCATCAACTGGGTTGATAATGTAAATTACCACCGCGAAGAGTTTCTTAGGCTGAGCGTTAGGGCTAACAGTCGAAATATTACCTTCAGAATCTCTATACGGTGGCCAATTTACATTGTCAACTCAGTTTAAACCAAATTATCCTGTATTACATCACACATTTGATATCAGGTTTCCCAATGGGATCGTGCGGGTAAAAGCGGAAACTACAAAATATGACACAATCCAGAAGAGAGGCAAAAAAAACTATTATTTTAAAATAATGAAGATGTATCCCTCTTTCATCTTTCAACTATATTGTTGTATTATTCTTCGTGCTTAATTACCATTTTTGTCAAAAAATTTTCTTTTCACAAAATATCTCCAACCATTCCCTAGCAAATGGTTTCGGCAGTAACAGATTTCCTCCCGGTTAACTGATTGAAATCGATTTAAGTCAAAAGAGCTCACCAGATACCACTGTCCATCCCATAAGGGGTCTGTGAATCGAGGCAGGATCCCTCTGGCAACCATTCGGTCGTGAAAGTGACCTCTTTTGACGCGGATTTTCTCGTGTTGTTGTTCCGCCCAGATTACCTGCAAAACAAATTAGGATTGTTTTGAAAACCTGGGCTGAGTCATAATATCACTTTGGTCATGATAAAACTTCACTGCAAATAGAAATTTTAAATCCGAAATGGACTGATTCTTGCTTTACTCGCTAATGCAGTAAATTAACCATAATTTTTTTTAAGATTGAGCAACAAAACTATATCTATTTTTGTTAAAGTATTAAAATAATTCCGCCTCAGACTTTAATATTTTGAGGTTTTAAAAAAAAAAGATGGTGGTACTAAATAGAAGAAAAACATCAATTTTTGTAAAGCATGCTTCTGAGCATGGCGTGTTATTCATACTTTAACAGTCAGACAGAATATCGCTATGTAATTGATTGTACAGGCACTTATCAATCAAATGGCGAATCTTACCTTTGGATCCTGTGTAAGTCGCTCTGTCCTCTCGTCTGCACTCCTGCGGGAACGATGTGGCAACTCTGCATGTTCTAAATGATAGAAGCCTTCCAAAGTACCAATCTGCAAATAATGAATTAAGGAAGATAAATGAATGAAAAAATATTTTCTCTTTCCCAATAAATCGAGTTTTTTTTTTTGGTGAACCTTAGAAAAACTATGGACGGAATGTCAAATTGAGGCATTTATTTGACTAATTTCAATGATTACTACTTCAGAACATTTTATCAGGGATATGAAAAGTTTACTAAGTCATTGCTACGCTGCCGTTGCTAACTTTAAAAAGAATGTTTTACAATGTACTATGGTTTCAGTAGGTGGATTTTTCGATGATTAACCATCAATTTCCTCTTGGTTGTTATGAATGCCCTGCATTGTCGGCACCCCTTTTATACTAATAAGTAGACCTTAACAATAGTTTATTTTTGCAATTTTCATTCGGCGGAAGACGTAAAAATGAAATAAATCAATATAAACCTCTATTTTTGACGTTTAGGGTGCACATTAAATCCGAATTGTAGCAGAATGTTGTTGCAGCTTTCCGGATTTTGACAATAAGGACAATGGCGAAATTTTTGTTCTTCCAAAAATGTTCAGCTGTTTTAACAAAATCATTAGATCGTGGGCAAATGTCTGGAGGAAGAATGTAATTTGAAAACCTTTATTTTTTCGCACCAGGGTAGCACTACTCAAGACTTGACGATGAATCAGTGTCAAGAATGTAGGTCGAAATTTGGTAATGAAGTCACCAGCAGAGTTCACTTAAAAATTGCTTCCGCCAGAAAAAAATCTTCGTTTCTTTCTAAATTTTGCATTTAGAGGAAGATGTTGAATCATGTCAGAGTTGTTAAGATAATGAATTGAATCAGTTGTTAACATATAGGAGAAACTTAGTTTTGTTTTAAACATGTGGTTCCATTCGTTGCTAAAGAGGGAAACATCGCTCCCGTAATCAACCAGCTCATAATATTTAATATCGGCTTTGTAGGGTGTGAAGACTTTGACGATGAATTTGTTGATATACAACACCGGATTTGCTTGAAAAATAATGGTATAGAGAGGACGAAGTGAGAGAAGGACAGAAAATTCAGTATTAAACAAAACTTCATAGCGATTGGGAAAATATCGAGATTTGTTGACCGAGTTCGTTGTCTGACCTGCTGCCCGGTGGCCAGTGTTTGAGCCAGGCAGGCTAGAAAAAACATCATACTACAATTTATATTAAAAACGACCGGCAAGTACTTGTAAATCCCGCATAACAAGCAGTGAAAAGAACCCCGTGAAATCCATTCTTTACTTGGTACTTACTGGTTCAACTTTGTCAAATCCATGAGAACGAGCAATTCGTTTGGCAGCCTCAATTCCTCCCTCTACCTGTATTGCCCATCCGTTGGTGTAGACTTTTTCTCTGTTGTTTCCGGGCTTCTGGGCGTGAACGCTGTTCTGTTTGGGCCACGCAACGACGAAGACACATATTATTATCTTGGCGAGGCCCAAAGCCCGTACAACTCGAAACATCGCATCGCTCCCAACTTTTTCGTGAAAGAAATCTGACCGAGAGTCGATGGAAAACTCTGGCTATTTATTATTAACGGCAACGGATGTTTGGTTAGTTGCGGAGGTCATCTGTCGTACGACTGGCACCTGTCACTTACTGTTATAATCAATTGATCTCTATCCCCTTTGAGCCAATCACAACTTCTGACGTAAGGAGGAGAAAAGACTAAACTTAACGAGGACATGTGGACGATCGAACGTTCGATCGAATCTACTTGAGGTCGTAATGTAATGATCAAACATTCTGTGAAACAGTTATAATTTTTTTTTTCCAATACTTCTCCTTTCAAACCATTTAAAATTAATCTAAAATGTTTCTGCGTTGTTTTCCTTCAGACTGATTATGATTTTGATCACGAATTAAGTGGGACGAATGTTGGAACATCTGCCAGGTTTTTCAAAATTCTGACCAAATTATTAGCATTGACGAAATGTAATTTGACGGCCACTTTGTTGCGCGTTTCCTTAGTTCGTTAGATAATTGGACATTCAGACTGTTTTTGAGAGCAAGATTCAAGGTAATGTGCATTCAATGAATGTCCTGAGGTGTGAAAATTAACAATGCAATGCACAAGAATAACTCAGCAAAGATGTTTTATAACCATGGATTATCACAGTGAATGGCTTGAATACTGAAGAGTCTGAAAGACACCGCACCACAAGTTTGAGCGTAGGTGTTACATTCTAATGCAGTACCTCTCATCTACATTTTATGACGGATTTCATATCAATATGGGAGTTATTTTGCGGTTAAAGTAAATGCGTTAAAACGGAAAGTTTGATGTCAAGAGATGTTTAGCCATGTTTGTCTGACGCACGAACTTGCGCTGGATAGTAAATAAAAAAGATTTAAAGAATGCGGTAAGCCGCGCTAATCTGATGCTGTAAAAAGACTAATGTGGTACACATGGTGTACTGAGTAAGAGAATCCATTACCAAATAGCTAAAGAACGGATGACAAGCGCGAGCCAACATCCTCTTTAGCTCATTTACAGATACACGAAGTACTGCCCTTGAGGCATCTATTTCACAAAGTAATGACCTTTTTCGCACTTAAGACGCAAAATCCGTCTGGACGAACAATTTAGTTCTTCTGGTTATGCGTCTCTGGTATGGAGACGGCCACAAGAAGCTTTATACATCGAGACGAACTATCCTTCCCCTATTGCGTGGCCAATCTCACTTGCGCTCCGTCGTTCGATTAATGTAACCTAATGGAAAAATCACAACTATCTTGAAAACCTTATAAAGTTTCCCTTTTTCAATATCTTTCAGTTTATGTTATTACCAAACAGTACTAGACTGAAAGTTGACTGAAGTATCAGTACGCAAAAAAATGCTTCATGAAAAGTCAAACTTGAAATTGTAAAAAGCGTAAGCAGCGTTCAAAAATACTGATCCACTATGACATTTTAAAGATGGTGAAATTCGTTGTATATGAATAAAGTGGTCGACCAGTGGTCAATAGGACCTTAGGCCAATCAGCTGACAGAATACTCAGCCTCGCCTAAAATCAACCTATATCATCGAGTATCTTTGCTCCGAGCTGTTATTGTGAAAGCATATAACTTGTTTACATAAGTATCACTTTTTACGCTGCTTTGTTGGTATCAATTACACCCTAAAGTTGCTTATTTACAACTTCTACATTCTATTTCATTCCAAGAGAATAAAACTCCGGCGATAGCCAAAGGATTGAAGGTTTCGTTCATCTACGAAGATGAAACGTTCTTTTGTTACTTCAACAAAACCGTTTGTTCTTCCCCTGTAAAACTTTGTTTTCGATTCACGCATTCTTAACCGATTTGTTGCACTGCCAAAAGTTTTGGCCGATTTTTGAGATGGCAAATCTTAACCGGTATTTAAACTGACTTCGATGTCAAGGTGATCGAATTTTCTGGTCATTGTAGCGAACAAGGATTATCATAATAGCTCCTTAGGAAATAGGTAGGACGTGCGCCCGTGATATGTTCTAATTCTTGTTGTTTACAGAATGGTTTACGGTTCAGTTGCTTGCGACACCAATGGGAATGATATTCGATGAGATTTTTCGTACTTTACTTTTCACTTGCGACAAGAGAATTAAAAGCATTATTCAAATTGTGCCTTAGAGGAGATAAAAAGTTTGCTCCAACAAGGAAAGCGAAGACCGAGAAGTCCAACAACTTGAGGATATGAGTAGTGAACATCTTGTTCCGGTATCAACTCTGCCAACCCCTGACGATTTTCAAACCGAGCGTAGACAGCGAAGAGCTATGATTCTGCATGAAAGAAACGACGGTTCAAATCATGACATAAAAAAAAAAAAAACGAGGCAAGGCTATGGGTGGACGTCGAACAATAACTCTAGAATATTAGAGTGGTTGTATGCCAAGCAATTTAAGTCTTAGGGTCTGGCAACTTGCGCTTTTTGTGGTCTTCGGCAGAATCGTTTAGCTTTCTTTACTTCATCCATGCACCTTTCTAAGATTTGTTCTGCTTTTCGCTTTCCTTTGCCACCACCATTTATGACTCTTTTGCAAATATTTTAACTTGTCCATGTTGAAATTCGAGAAATCTTCGCTCGGTGTGGTCTATTTCATTACCCTGGGTTTACATTTTTCGTGCTGTCGAAAGTCGAGTTCGCACTTAGCCTCGTTCTGGCGCTTTTTCTACGGCACCAGATCTTTGACTTGTGAGAACTCGAAAATAGGCTATTTATAGTGCAAACTAGTCGCTGATCTCCCAAATCATTCTAAGCAGTCATATAAGCAGTGAAATCGGCACTCTTAATTCCCACGGTGTCAACGAACGCCTTTTATTCAACTAATGTATTTTTATTTTTGTTTTTCTCGTTATCACGTTGTTAGCAAGAGCTTGCTCCATATTCTGTATATAAAACACACACAACCCACAATTCTTCCATTCGCTCAGACGAAGGGCTAACGGTCGAAATACTAGCTCTAAAAACTCTACGGAGGCCAATTTACATTATCAACTCAGTTGATAAAACTAAGTGTCTGTCTTGTTGTACCCTCCCCCCCCCCACCCCACCGACACAATACCACAGTTTGTTGAGAAACTTTCCCCCTTCTTTATTTGTTAGAGGTGAATTTAGGGGATTTTATCCCTGCCTGCTTTTAATAGGTGCGTAATATAGACTGAAGTTAGAGTCATTGTTCATTATCATGTGATTATTTCATTTTGTTTAAGTGACCTCTGTAACAGTTTTAGTGACGAAAATTCAGCTTATTTTGTCTCCACTACACAACAAATAACACAGTAGTGTACACCAAATGAATTTATTTAGGGAAGCCTGCCGAGAACCAACCCGAGGCATATATAGCCCGGGGCATGCATACATACATTCGCAACTGATATACCATATACAATCCTGATATACAGTCAATTCCTTACACATTAAAAAAAAGGTATACATTACTAACATGCAAACTTCACCAAGTCTGGATTAACAGAGATGGGCAACCGCTTACAAGGACATAACTACGGTTATACAGAGGCCAGAAAAAAAACCTGCCAGAAAAAACCCCTTTGGGAAAAAAAACATGACAGGAAATCTGGGTAGGAACCATGGCCCAAACTCAGAGCAGTTGGCAGCCCATCCTACGAGGCTTCACAGCTAAAGAAAATATGTTTTCAAACTAAAATAAATTTGTCATCAGCCAGAGGTGAACGGTTGGTTCTGAGGCCTAGATGGACATCACGTGCTATACTTTCCCTTATATACCACTGCATCGTTACCCATGATGCTCGGGCCTAAGGCCCAGGCCTTGTCGTATCTCGTGCCGACAAAATATTTATTTCTGCCTTATTCGCAGACTCATTCGTCAGAAATACCATATTTCACTAACGATCAGAAAACTGCGCGCGCAACATCAATTACTTGCGTTTATTTGACTAACCTCTGTGACGTCAATTGATTCAGACATATTCAAACCTTTCTCACAATCTGTGAATATGCCTTTTGTCACAGTGTGGCAGGCATCATTTATTGTTAGTGAAATAGCGAAACGCGTTTTAGAAAAACATGATATGGAAGATTATCCTTCAAGCGACGGGGTAGAGAAGGTACTACATCCTAATTTAACATTATCAGAGTTTTCGAAAAGCGAAAAAAAGCCACTAAAATCGTCAGCGACCCCAGCAGTGAGATAGCCACTGTAAACACTTTCTCTTGTCACATGGGAAAACGAGATTGAACTCTTCGCGATTGGTTTAAGTTTTGAATCTGATTGGTCAAGAAAGTGGCGCAAGATTTCTGAAACAAGTAGATAGAGTAGTAAAACAAAGCCAAAGTGACATCCCACCAGCTTGGTTAGCATTCTCAAAACGAGACAGAGGGTAAAGGAGTAAGTTTCTAAAGGAACTGTTGTGCTGCGTCGCTGGGGGAGTAGAACAGGCTAATTTAATTTTATCAACTGAATTGATAACGTAAATTGGCCACCGTAACAGTTTCAAAGCTGACATTTCGAGCGTTAACCCTTCGTCAGAGCGACGGGTTTTGTCTCAGAGCGATGAGACAGAGGGTAATCTTTCCAGAAATCACCTTGCGTAGTAAGAAGTCAACGGGTCCAGTGCAAGATCGGAAATTGTCTTCCCCGTTGTTTCTCAAAGAAAATTTAGGGGATTGTGGTAATAAGAGAGACTGCGCGGAAACTTCAAATCTCTGTTTTAAAAATGGTTTAGGGTAGCAGATAAAAGAAAATTCAGTCAAGACCACTGGCATTTGTACCTATTTTAAGCTATTGAGCCGGCGCAAAATATTTATGACAGATCCGTTCTCAACGGCTCTGGTGCACGGTTGAGAACCGTTCTCAACGGCTCTGGTGCACGGGTTTCAAGTCAAAAGAAAGGGTATCAGCATGTTTGTTTCCTCCATTTGTTCCCACGCGCAAGATCTTCTATTAACATTGGAAGAACTTTAGACTCTCACAGGTGTCAAGTTCAACACAAGTTGTCCCTGTGTATGAACCCCGACATCTGAAATGAGAAAAGATTCTCAGAATCTTTTTCATCCCTGTTCACAGTGTTCTTCAAGCATATAATTTCCTTGGAAAATATTTTTGGGTATCGGGCAAATCACCATTAGACGTCTGTTTCTACGTTCCACATAGATAGACGAGATGCTTGACCGGTATGATAAAGAAGCGTTTTTCCTATAGCCGGCCATCTCTTTCTGAAATGAAAGAAAACAAATTCCTTTGCAAACTATCATCTTTACCCGGAGCTTAGTATTAGCCTTATTAGGATTGAGTTCAAAGAAGTCTCCAACAAATAAGTGTCACGATCCCATCTAAGAATTTGAACTCTAGATGTTTTTGAGGAGGGATTATATCCTAACGAGCTTCTTGTGGCATAATTTCTCTACAGAATGTTTCACCAAATAAAGAAGTGCAACCCAAAGGGAAAGGTCCGACGATGAAGAGTTATGACAAGGAACCAGTTCAAGGGCGGATGCGATCATGTGGTCCTCCGCAAATACTTGGGGTGGAGACACCTCCTTGGAGCCATCCCCTGCCTAGCCATCTCCCGCCGATGTTCCATCCCAGCCCATCAGGTAAGTACGGAGAACAGACTTATCGTAGCAACTTAAGATCATACACACTAATGTTCTCGTTCTAGTGAATCTTATTGTATACATGGCTCCTTATCTCTCAATACGATGCGATTACCGGTCCAGAGTAAAATGCAGTTTAATTAAAAACTTGGTGGTTCAACGCAATGGAGAAATGTCAGGTGCAACAAAATGCAGAGCAATGCAAAGAAAAGCTCTCCAGCTTAGCTCGAATGGAGGGACACAGCTAAATTCGAACTCAGCTGAATACAAAGCTTCTCCAGTTTCTCTAGTTTCATTTCACAGCGGCATACGAAGGTATGAAAATACATCACACATATGCACAGCATGCAACGAAAATCCATGACACACGATTTAGCGGACTGTAAGGAAATTGAGCACAGCCAAACGCAAAGCAAAGCAACTTACGTGATTTTTTGCCATTAATAACTAGAAAGAGTGTTTTATTTTTTTATAGGGAGACACTTTAGGATGGAAACACCAAGGGTGCGGTCTCCTGCCTCCAACACCCGGTCAACTTACCCTCCGATAAATGTTCTGCCAGATGCTACATGGACAAATACCGACAGGGACCAAAGAAATGTTGTACCTACGATACCAATTCCAAATGTTTATAATCCCATGATGGCGCTTAGGGCATGGTATCTTGCCTCCAGTAACTGGCCAGCACCCTTACCGATGAACATGAGGCCAATGAACACAATGTCGATGATTATGATGCCGATGAACATGATGTCTCCATATCCTGGTTATTCTTTGGGGCCGTCATTAGGAGTAGCACCATGCCAACGGCCTCTTGTCCTCAACAACTGGCAGACTCCCACACCAATTAACATTGTACCCAACATATGGCCAACTACCAACATGGGTCACATGGACCAAGCAAACGGTGTACTTGTGGTGCAGAATCCAAGTGCTGGCAATCTTTTGAGGTCTATGCCAGGAGTTGCGCCACGACCTCTGCCCTCTACTTCCAATACCTGGCTATCTCCTTCACCAATGAACGTTGTACCCAACACATGTCCAAATGCCATCATGGATTACACGGGCCAAGCAAACGGTATACCTACATTGCAGAATCCTAATGCTGGCAATGTTATGGGGCCTATGTCAGGAATGGCGCATTGGCTACCTCCCTCTGTTTCCAACACCTGGCTAACTCCTTTATCAATGAACACTGTACCCAACACATGGCCAAATACCGAGATTTGTTACACGGGTCAACGAAACTGTGTACCTGCGGCACAGAATGCACACCCTAGTAGTGCCATAGGACCCCACGTACCAGTCTCGGTACAAGTTCAGCATTTATTGCCATACCCGACAGGTTTGTAATTCGCATTCCAGTTCTTCTTAATGCAGGGATGAGAGGCCTACAACGTTTGTTGATGAGCAAACTGCTTATTTCTGCTCATCAGAGGCGAGCATATCAGTGAAATAACCTCTCGATGAGTTTACGTGGTCTTTGGACGACAAATATCTGTGTAAATAAAACATAAAAACATAAAATGGCACATTATTAGAAAGCAACATAAAAATGGCATATCACTAGAAAGTGATGAAGGTACCAATTGATCGAACAGCCCTTTTGGCGTATTTACATACGTTACTAAACCTTGGAACTCAATAATTTATAAAGTCGGACGTGTAAATCAAGTGCGGCCAGGTATACTACGATAATTAAGTTCTCCAAGCTTTCGCCGATCTACTGCATCATCAGGGAATGTAGATGGAATCTTTGAAGTGGAGAGTATATTGGGCGAGGTGTTAGGCTAGGTAATAGGGGTTCAGCTGACAATAGGACAGAACGATGGCAGGTATGTAAATGCGCTATACTCTCCACTTCAAAGATTCCGTCTACATTCTCTGATGATGCCGTAGATCGGCGAAAGCTCGGAAAACTGAATTATTGTAGCATACTGACTTTATTACACTATGCCACTGAAGGACAACATCCAATGCTTGATCAATAATTTATGCTTAACGGAAATGATGCTAACAGAGCTAATTGTAATTGTTTCTTCTCTTAATTCACTATAAGATCTCGAGCGACATCACTCCGGATTTCGGGCATCGGCCAACATGACTAAAAATCTTGGGCGATATAACTTTAGTTTGGTCGACATAACTTTAGATCGGGCGACATAACTTCGAGATGTGAGGGGGGAGGGGTGACTTTTGGGTGACTTGACTTGTTAACGTGAGTCAAATGTAAGGTTATTAGAATATAGGAAATGATCACCGACTTAAGAAGCTCCTGATTGTTAAACAAATTCCTCTTGTCGGCATAATGAAGGTGTAGAGGATAGACTACCCACGTAGAGGCAGGGAGCGACAGCATTAGGTCAGCGTCTGTTGCCATTTGTGTTGCCAGCTCATGCTTCGTTCAAAATGGAGGATGTAGAGATGTATTCTGACCATTTGCTTTTTAACAAGCGTCAACTAGGACCGATTGGCCAATACACAGTGTAAGTTTAATAGTTTGACCTGTTTCTCTATACCAAATTCTCTTAGAAGGTAATTGAATCGCCTGTAAAAAAAATATCCAATACAAAATATTTTAAAAGAAACTTATGTAAATATGGGAGTAATTCTAGGGCCTTAAATTCAGAAAAACGAATTGATCTCAATGAACTGAATATGCACGACGTGTGTGTAAAGGTAAATACTCACTTTAATTTCCACAAAAGAGATGGACACAAACTACCCAAAAGACTATTTTTGCGCAAAAATTAAACTCTGCATCAAGCCATTTTTTCGTTTCGATTTGAATTGTACATTGGTAGTTTTAAGTGACTGAGTTTAATTTTTTTCAGAAAATATCGAGCAGAAACCCATAGCGGTGCCGTTGGAAATGTTTTGGTTCTGATATATTGTAGACTTCCCATTTTGATTGTTTTGAAGGCTCTGATCAAATATAATAAGTTAAAACTAGTCTTACTGGTTACGGATGTTATATCTCGTCAACTAAGCATGAGCAAAAGATAATTTTACAGTATTCTCTGAATGTTATGTGCATCAAGGTCTTTTACAGAGAAAGGAAATACTCAATGTTCTCTTAAAAAATTTCTCCTTTCAGTAACAGCTTTTTTTTTTCTTTTTCAAACACCTCAACATATTACCATGTTGCTTCTTATGCCTGGTTTATTTTGACTTAAATCTTTAACCCCTAAGAGTGAGTAACATCGAATTTCTCCTCACAATATCATCTCTGAATCACACATTTAGGCTGTGAGAATAAAGGAAATGATCACCAACTCAAGAAGCCCTTGATTTCTAAAAAAATTCTTCTTGTCGGCACCTTGTGAAATGTATAGAGCATAGTATGGAGAGTTTGCATACTGATGATAGGGTGTAAAGGGTTAAAACTATTCTGAAATTTGGACCAATGAACTTAATTAACAAGAGCAAGTCCAAAAAGAGCACAACACACCATGCATTAACTGAATAAGAATAACAATAAGTCAATCAAGGTAGCAGGATGTTTAAATGGTACTTTTAGATGTATGATGCACTGTAGCTTTGTTAGCCATATCTATTGTTATCATTATCATTATCAATAGATCCTATGCATGATGGTGTTGTACACTGAAAACCTTCCCAAAACCTTATCTTCATGCATCATTACTGCTTTCTTGTTATTTTCTTGTGGGTATTTGTTTCATTTCAGTGTTTTGCGCATACTTTCAATTAAAATTAATCAGTCCACACCTTGAAAGTAAGGCTTGGGGGTGAAACTGGGTATTCCCACACAAGCCTAAGGCCTATTATTATCAATTACAGTTTTTGAGATTGACTTTTAAAGTAGTTTTTTTCACCTTGTTGTTTACAGGACTACACCATATGTAATTGCACTGGTGGTTGCTAAATTTCTTCATACATTTGGTTTATTTGTGACATATGAGCAGCTGAAAGTCATTCATGTTGTTCAATTCTTATTTGTTGTTAGGCTTTGGTAAGTACCAGTAACTATTTAAGGATACCCTTGCATTTTTTATTATTACATCAGATGTTATTCTAATGAAGTTGCTGGATTTTTGTCTGTCCTTTTTTAGCACTACTGTTGTCCTCGTTATATTACAAAGACCTGTGTCATCAGGAAAAAAAATTACTTCCAATCAGGTACAGTTACATGCTTTTTCTTACTTGATGACAGAAGGACAATTTTTTTTTCACTGAGATTTAGTTTGATGGAATTTTGATGGAAACTTCCCAGAGTTCATTAAGAAAATACCATATTTTTTTCAGTGGTACAAGATTGGTAAACATGCTTTAGTATCAACTATAATAGGTCTGATATGGCTCGAAGGACTTACCCTTTGTGGTGCTTTAAGGTAAGCAGTAAACCACATAAACTACTATACACTCATAGTTTTGATTAACTCTTAACACCCAAATGTCAACAGTATTCATATTTGAATGAAAGTGATCCTCACATTGATGTGCACTATGTTGGTTCCAAATAAACCTGTCAAGTGATGATCACTTCACGGGTTTATTTGGAACCAACATAATGACCAGCTCCCAGTTGGCTTGTTAGCTCAATTAGTAGAGCGCTGCACTGGTATTGCAGAGGTCATGGGTTCAAATCGTGTACAAGCCTGAATTTTTTTTTCAGGCCTTATTTTCAGTGCTGCTTAAGTAGTCTACATTACTGTGAGGATCACTTTCATTCATGTCTTTATTCGCAGTTCAAATATATGACTTTCATATATTCTTAGCCGTTCAGTATGCATATTCTCTATACTGTTCTCTATACATTTCTCTAAGGGAATGATAAGTAGAGTTTGTTTGACAATCAAGAATTTGTCTAGTTAATGACCATTTCCATTATTCTTGAGACCATAATCTTTGATTCAGGGGTATTATTATTAGGATAAATTAGATCCTAGTTATTCTCAGGGGTCTGAGGGTTAATGAAGGCTATGATCTACATATATATACATCATTCTAAATGCAGTTTTGTACGCAAGAGTATGCAAGGTGCATGTTCAGTTTATATATTTTCTGCCATTCTGCTTTCTTCTGAGATTTTTACAATGGTATAACTTGAATTGAACATCTTTAAGGTAGTTACTAAATGTAAGCTTATTGTGATCTGGTTGTTTTGTACAGAACTGTTTTACTCTATGAACATAGTGATGCTGTGGTATTGGCAGCATTAGGAGTTCTTTTTCATTCTGGTGGTACTGGCCCATCAAAGGTAATTTCAATAGATCTGTATTTCAATAGATCTGTATTTCAATAGCTCCTCTATTTTTATGTTGGACACCTATCCTCCAATGGTATTGACTGTTTTTAATGACTGGTTTTAATATCTTGAAGAAACTTGGGTAGATAAGATGCTCTTTGGAGGAACAGTAATATCTTAAAGAATTCCTTGAATCAAGAGATGTCAGATTTTTATTAATTTTAAAGAATTTGCAAAGGAATAAATGGATGAAAAATCAAATGAATGAACCATCAAATGAACGAACCATTAGATCAGTAGAACTGCTGATGGCCAGACAGACTGTCACACAAATAATGAAAGAAAAAATCATTTGGAAAACTTGCATGGGAACTTTTTTAACTTGTTGTTTTATTTTGATTGTTTTTCAGGTCAGAGGATCATTACTGTTTTTATTAGGAATTTTGTGTCTTCTACTGTTTGATAACGATTCTCCAAGTTTGAGCCATCGTATCTTTTTATGTAGAAAACTCTATTTTTAAATAATGATGTTTATCTTTAATGTTGACTCATGGAGCCTTACTCTACAAGTCAATATTTTGATGGGTTGACATGAGTTGGTCATGAAAAAGCAGGTAATCCCCATCACTTACATGGCTATGTTACCAAAAAAATTGCCAGAAGAAGTCTTTTAGATTGGTTAGCCAACCATAATACAAAATTGTTGGAACAATAATTACTGTCACAGATTTGCACCTTTTAGATAACTTTCTTGCAAACAATAGGCATTTTCAGGGAACGTGAATTAAAAAAAAAAAAAATTGAGAGAACAAGTTGTCTTTTCCAAGGGAATTTGAGTTTCTTTTTTGACTGAAAGAAGTTGGGTAAAAGGTCTTCTTAGTAGGATTTTTTTTGTAGTTGTCCTCCACAAGCCCTTTTGTATGAAATTTATGATTGTATCTTGGAGTATTTAGGTTCAAACATAACTTCAAAATTTTCAAGACTTAGAGGTCATATGATAAAGCACTTACTGACTGAGTTTGGTTTGGTTGGATGGGAAACTATTTGGCTTAAGTTTATGACATCCAAACCTGTAACAAAGTTGGTGTCTGGCCTGACCAAAGTCAGTTAATAAGTAAACATTCCTCTTCTTGTTCTGCAATAATTTATAACTTTTGGACTGAAATCTGAACTGAAGGTTACTGTTCAGATACTGTTAATTTTTTATCAGAGTTGGTGTACTTTCATAGTAAGAAGCTGTATTTTTAAAATTGAGAATATCCAGGAGTGATGTTTTCTTAACTTGTGATCAGCGGAGGGTCATCACAAAAGCCAGTGGATTCATTGGTACTATCAAGTCTTGTCTTGGCTAGGTTTACCAGATCACAAGGTAATGAAGAGTATTGATTGGAAGAAGCTCTTAAACAAATGAAATTGTTGTGTTTCACTTTTGGAACTATGAGGGTGTTAAACATACAATTATATATTTGTTGCTCTGGACCAGTTTGCTCAAAGTTGGGTTAAGATAACCCAGGGTTAGTGTAAAATCTAATTTCAGATCTGAAAGCTTTAAAACAAAATCCAGTCTAATTTTTTTGTCTACAATTTGATGATTGCATGTTTTAAAAAGATGAGAGAAAATTATCCCATTAAAGTCTTGTGATCAAAGGAATATAGAAACCTGGACTAAAATTTAACCCTGGAGTAACCTTAATCAGCCTTCAAACAACTGGGCCCTGGAATTTCCTTTCCTTATCTTACTCAAATTAAGGCAAAGGAGTGGAAATATAGTATACTATAAAAGAAGCAGTTGTTCACTCTCTTGCTCCTAAAAGCCACCTGTTACAAGTCCACCTCTATGGCATCATTACAGTGTAGAATTCCAGGAGCTTATCATAAGTGATAAGGATGAAGTATATTAGCTTGAGGATAATCTTGGACTGGACCCTAAATTTTTATCTCCCATGAAAAATGTATGGCTGATGTTAGAGAGAATGAATATTACAGTGTTCTTGGGAATAAAAGTTTAAGTGATAATTTCTGTTATCAGAATTAATTGCAAATTTAATAATTGCCTTGTTTTTTAAATTTATTATTGTTATTTTTTATTGTGGTAGGGTGGCCTGATTCTTTTAGTTCTTGTTCTTTTGTTTAAAATTGCTCACAAGAATGTTTCAAGAACTTTAGCAGTTGAGATTGGAGGTAAGATTATCAGGGGGTCTCTGGTTTTGATTTTGAAGCTTCAATACTTTCTTACACCAATATTGCCAAGGTTATGGCTTTGAAAACTCTGTCCTACATATATGTATGCTTGGATTTCTAAGTAAACATAAGGAAATACAGTCTGCATTAACTGTCTTTCAATTTTATTGATCTCCAGGTGCCAAAAGACTAGCTGCTCTTTCAAGTTGTGTTTCAACTGTGCTTCTTCTTCCTTTGGCTCTGTTATCAAATTTTACTCAAGTATGTGATAGCTGCCTATAAATAGGCAATGAAAAGTCTCAACTATCGTTGCTTTTATTATGAGTTTGCTCCTGTAGAGCTTGTTCATCTTCAGAGTTCTGCCACATTCTTATTGGAAAAAAGAAGCTCTTAGAACCTCAAAACATTCCTTTTTGAAGCTATTATGAATTCATGCATTTAAAAATGAATGTCCCAATCAGAGACTGTAATGGGAGAGGGATTGGTAAAGAACCAAAGGAATACCACTATATCCACAAGATGTTAAAAAATGTTCTTGGGTTTGACAGATCATTGACACATTCCAAAATAGAGTCTGTATAGTCACATGTACCTACAAAGATTCGGTGGTGAAGGTTGATTTATCATGACAGTAAAGACGACAATTTTGAAGGTCATGAAGGTTAATCTGAAAGAAAGGCCAAACTCAACTCATTGGTAGATGTCTTTACTTGCCCATTACCTAATTATCATCTCTATCCAGTTATTTTCTGGGCACAGTACACACTACCAAAAGCACTGCATGATGGAACTACTGCAGACTCCCATCAATAACAGAGTAGTTTTTGAATATAGAAAGTGTTGCAGGTTGAATAATAAATGTATGTTTTTTTTCTCTTATGGCTAAACAGACAACAGATGTTGACTGGCTTGAAGCAATAATTCCTCTGGCTGTGGTCATTTTTGTTGTATTCATTTTTGACTTCTACATTGAGTCTTTCTGTGTGGCAAAACTGGAGTCACTTAGGACGGGAAAGATAGGCTCCATAGCTTCATTCTTATCAGCTGTGATCATAGCATTGTTGTGGGATAAGCCATGGGTGTGGAGCATGCATGAATGGCACCACGGCAAACAATCTGAACCACATCTAGTATCAGCTGGAACACTTTTTGCTGCTTTCTTCTTTGTGCTGGGTAAGTTTGGTGTTTTTGTGTCATCTTTTAAATAAATGTTTCTCAAACAGTGATTAGAGTTTGAACTTTTTGTTTATTAGTTACACTGGGGCAGTACATGATGCAAATTGTTAGACTGTAATATGAATTTGCCCTGATGTTTTTGTTATTTCCTTAAATGTTTTCAGTTTGTTTTTTTTTGGTATGTTCCAGTGAGCTTGAAGATGAAATTAATAGATTATGATATGGATGAGAGAGGGGGATAATGATTCAAGCATGTTGGCCCAATTTCATTAAAAAAAATTTTGTTCTTCAAAAGCTCTTGCTGCATATCCATATCCACATGATAACAGACTGTTACCATCTCAGATTGTCACATTACTCATCCATAAACAGCTATGCTTATTAAGTGGCATAGTATTATGTGGTTGCCCTGCATTAAGTGGTTACCAGCAGTTGAATTCAAACTCCCAAAGCAATTTTGTCCCCATCCTTATTGTAATTTTCTCCGCTATGGAGCAGTCACCTCCATTAAATGGTGGTGGTCAGCCTTGACTGAGTCCCAACTGCCTATTTGTATTGTTCTCCACTTGTTTTGAAAAATCTTTCAAGTAAAAGTTAATCCATGTTTATCTCCAGAAATCAGTGGTAGTAGTATTTTTAAACAATTTTTTGTCCATTGATCGGTAAATTACAGAATAAAATGGTATTTTCCATTGTTTTTGTAACAAAGTATTCTGTGAAATCTTTATCAAGAGGTTACCCTGCCACTCCCCTTAGTTGACTGCTTAATAAAAGTTCAATTTTAGTTGAATTGAAGAATTGGAAATTAATGGCAAAACCAGACCAGCCTTATTGTCTTATAACAGTTTTTCTCCCCTAGTTCTCCATGTATCATTAGTCCCTTTTTATAATATGAATTGTCAAAGTTTTGCATAAGACCATGTGGTAAACATGAACGATACCATTATTTCAAAATACTGTTAAGTTTGGAGCTAACTGTTGCATCTTTTCCTAGCTACAAGGTTATTGTCAAGGCCATCTCCTCGTATGACTAAAGGAAATCTGATTGGTTACACAACTGGTGGCTTGCCAATCTATAACTTCCAAACACCACAGTCAGTACTGACGACAGTGCAAAGTCTTTTGAGACAAATTGTGGAGCAGTCAGAATCTAGGCAGATATTTTACTTCCTTTGTCTCAATCTGGTATGCAATGAATTCTGTCTATAATACTTTGTAAAATCTGTGTGGTGTGCTGAAAGAATCATGCAGAAACAAATTCTGTAAAACAGACTGAAATTATAGGATAAGCTGAATTTAACATGTATTTTGGTTCTTATGATCTAGTGGCAGACAAATGCACAGACGATATCGATGCTTTTATGAAATAAAACAAATAGTTTCTATGCTCCATGTCAGCAAAAAAATCACCGAAGATGTTGAATGTGTCAACATGAGCGACACTCTTGGCTGCGCCTTGTGTGCCACTTTGTTTTTACCACATTTGGACATGATCTGTGATCTATCACCACACAGATGCACCACAACATAGTATTAATAATATGTTTTAAATTCAGGGTTTGCCCTATGATTATCGTACCTTAATTTAACAGGTTGATCTTATTATGATTTTTTTTGTCTATTTATTTATTTTATTGTGGTTGTTACATCAAATGTCTCTAAAGTTTCATTTCATTCATTTGACTGTTGGTTTAGTTGAGCTGTGCAGCCTCATCTCTTTTTTAGGGGGATCTTCTTTTGTTTCTTGTTTCCTTGGGTAACTCTTCACCCTCATGTGATTTTCTGTTTATCATGATTGCAGCTGTTCACAGGAATAGAGCTGTTGTATGGTGCCTGGACCAACAGCCTTGGTCTGATATCAGATGGTTTCCATATGCTGTTTGACTGCACTGCTCTTGTTATTGGACTATGTGCAGCTCTCATGGCTAGGTGGAAAGCTTCTAGGACATTTTCCTATGGGTATGTACAAGATACATTATTGTCATGGTTTTTAAGCTTTTATTTTGATCCTAGCTGCATATTCTGCAGGTTTAGGTCTGCACTATCCGTGTGACAGTGCAAGACACATGGTGTACTTGCCTGTTCTGTCTTTCTAAAGCGGTTATTTTAACCCTCAGCTTTGACCTAAGTGTGACTAGCATCTGATTTCTCCTTACAATATCACCCTTGAATCACACATTAAGGTCACGAGAACAAAGGGAATGATCACTCACCAAAGAACCTCTTGATTGTTAAACAAATTCTCCTTGTCGGTGCCTTAGGTGATGTATAGAGAACAGCATGGAGAATGTTTACTGATGTCAGGAGTACAGTAAATGTATCGAGAAAGGTTTCAATAATAGGCATACTGATGTTAGGGTATAAAGGAATAATTTGTCAGTCAACTTTGTTTTCTCGTATAGTTGTATTTTTTAGATGCCACTTAATCTTATTTAAGTATATTCCGCGAGAAATACGTGATTATGTTTAATTAGGATAGTTACTTTATTCTAATACAAGCCTTGTCTTTGCAGTTATGGCCGTGTAGAGATTTTATCAGGCTTTGTCAATGGTATTTTCTTGGTGGTAATCTCCTTCTTTGTTTTCATTGCTGCAATTCAGCGTCTGTTTGATCCTCCAACAGTCAGCACTGAAAGATTATTAGTGAGTACCGTTTGTGTTCAAGTCGAGTGCCATTGTTGCATTGTTTTGAGCTTTGTGGGTAGTAGTATCAGAGTATTTAAATGAATCGGATGGAAAGTTTCATTTTTGAGCAACCTACACTTGTGGAAGTCTTTGGAAGGTTCCACTCTTAAAATAACGACTTCCCAGAAAGTGTGAACTGGAAAATAGTTTTCTTTCCCATTAAATAAAAAAAATGGACAGATGCCACGAGGTTTTTTCGTGCGTGTTAATGAAGATTCTAATCTTAACAAGACAGACCCTAACATAGAGAACTACGAAAATGCTTTTTACTGTCTGTTAGAATTGTGTTGGTTTTTCTATTTACGGCGATGTTAATCAATTAATCAGTATGTTTTGTTACTCTTATCCGCTGGAAAGTGATTGATCTGTAGAATAGCGTTATCCAACCTTCGAACAACCGGGCCCAGATTTACTCGCCTGTTTGTGGACATTATGAATAGTAATTAAAAGACATAAAATCTTTTCTTCAGGTTGTTTCTGTTGGAGGACTTGTGGTAAATTTGGTTGGTATATTTGCGTTCAGACATGCGCACTCACATGGTAGCAGTTCACACGGTCACAGTCACCATGGCCATGGTGGCCATGGTAGCCATGGGCACAGTCATGGACACCATGGTCACAGTCATGGACACGGGCACGCCCATGATGAACATCATGATCGTAGTGTAAACATGCAAGGTAGGTAGATTGAATACTACATATATCATTTTACGAAAAATGCCATATTTGTTGCATTTTTTAGATTCACAAAATATTAACAAGGTAGTGAAATTTTCCTTGAGTCGTCTGTCTCAATCCACCACTTGAATTGGATTGGAATTGGCATTACAATGCTCTTTTTGATGTTACAATTTACCCGTAATCATACTCTATACAAAGAAAGAAAACACACGGAATGGTATCTACAGTACTAAGGCGGCACTAGGCCATCAGCTAATACACCAAGAAATTCTGTTGATGCTTATTAGCTCGAAATGCAACGGTCGTCATGCTAACATTCCTGGTTAAAACCTGGCTTTGTATGGTACTATTTTCAAATGATTAAGACTTTTGTCTTTTGCAGGTGTATTTCTTCACGTTGTCGCTGATACCATGGGAAGTGTAGGAGTCATAGTGTCCTCTGTGCTCATTGAACAATTTGGATTCTTTATTGCTGATCCTCTTTGTTCGTTATTCATCGCAGTTTTGATTTTCCTCAGTGTCCTTCCTCTCCTACAGGAGTCCTCACAAGTGTTATTATTAAGAACACCAGGAGACTTGGACAAAACTCTAGGCAGTGCTTTTAATAAGGTAGGCTTAACATGAAGATTACACCGTTCTTTATCTGCTAAGGGCTGAGGCGTTTTGTGAAGGTTTGTCTTTCAAAGACTCTGGGTTCAAGTTTGGGTTGGGGTTAGAGGTTATTGTTCTTGGATATAACATAGTTTGAGGCCACGGTGCCTTCGCTCTCCTCTTAGATGGATAGGGTACTGACGTAAGTTTACTTGACTAGAAAACGTATCACTGAGATGTTAGTTGGGAGCTTCCTTCCTCCCACGTCTTCTTAGTCCTTCCCTTCAAGGAAATTTGGTGAAAAAAACTAAGTTTTTTCCAAACAGTTCTTTAAATACTCAAAAGACATTTGATTTCTTCGTTTGAAGTCCTACGCAATGTTCTGAATAATAAAAAAAAAACAAAACAAAAAAAACAAAAAAAACGGGCCTCTATTGTTTTATGTCGGCAGATTTTATCACTGGACGGTGTTTTGTCGTACCGTGATCCTCATTTCTGGAGACACTCATCTGATTCCATAGTTGGCGTCATTCATGTACAAGTAGCTCCGTCAGCAAACGAACAGAGGATTATTCAGCAGGTTTGTGACTGGTAGAAATAAACGCAATAAAGGCAAGTGAAAGTTACAGAAGGAAGCAAAACCCGAAGTATAACTAACATCAAGCAAACTCAAAAATAGTTTTTCGGGTTACGGTCATGAGGGGGCACCATGTACATATGGCGCTCGGTGGGCTTACAAATTTATGAGCCCTCCATCCCCCTACTCATCGGATTTGTTTCACGGTCCAACTCGTCTTTAGATTTTCTGCCTCGCTAGAAAGAAGACAAATATTTTTCCCTCCTGAGTTTTGAAATCCTTGTTTTACCTCTTGTGGTTCTGCTAGGTAGGCGTGACTTCTTCCATTTATTATTTTGTTAAATTACATTTTTGTTTACTGAGAAATGATGCGTTTAGACAGAGAGGGTTGGTTGATTGCAATATATATTGGCATGTTTTCTTTGAGTTTAACGAATGGCAACCTTTTCTCTCTTTCTCCAGGTCAGCGCGCTTTTCAAAGAATACGGTATCAATAAATTTAGTGTTCAAGTGGAAAAAGAAGCTTTCTTCCATCATATGTCGGCCTTGTCTGCTGGATACAAATCTGTGTTAGCCCTGAAGCAGGGTGCTGATATGGGATTGTCCTCCTCTGGTGGAGAATTTGACTACGGTGTGATAAAAGCCGTTTGACGAATGATGTAATTTATAGTTGTTATTTATTTTCCATCCAACGAAGTTTTAAAGAGCTATGTCACAACTGGGGCATCGTGCAATATGTGGTTCAACTTTTCAGGGTTTTTTCTGTTGACATTTGTTTTTACTTTTCTCCATCATTGGCAACTCTCTCTTTTTTTTACGGCTTTGTAATTAACACTTTGCAGTATTTCATCCTGTCCAACCTTGAATTTTGTTTCTTTTTGTTGAACTTTGTAAAAATAGTTCAAACTATCGTGATATATCTCCTTTAAGACTTCTTATGCTGGCGAATTCTGATGTTTGTCAGAATTTGTCTTGTAGATAGGTACACTCTTGTAAAGTAAATGAAACAATATATTGTCCTGTACTCTTACCATTTTACATGGGGCCTTATACGTGTTATTTATCATGGGAGGGGGAGGTGGCATTTCTACAGAACCCTTTTATGCTGAAAGGCCCATTTTTCGTCAGCGGTTTCCGGTGAAACATTGTGCCGACTGCGGCCGCTCGTTAAACATGGCGGGGAAATAGAATTTTTAAACTACAAAAAAAATCCACCAGCTCCCCAAATGTCACCTTCTGTAACGAATGCCCTTGAATTAAACTATCATTCCCTATTCCGCCGTAAAAGCAACAAAGAGGGCTTCATTTGCTGCGTCAATGCGATGGGATGGCGACCAAAAGGGTTCATAAAACCGAAGCGACACAAATGATAAGCTTAAGGAATATGAAAATTGCTTCGCTTCCGAAGCTGCTGATATTTCACTAAGTGTGCAGGACCTTTCAGCTTTTGCAGAAGATATGCCGGCCGAATTACTTTGCGTGAAAGCATCACGGAAAGTCAAGACCGAAGAAATTTTGACATCACGCGCGCCAACTGTAATTTGCACTCGTCCTACAACTTTGCACTCGTTTTCAGCCAATTAGAAGCAGGTCATTTTTTACTTCTATTATTATAAACGAAATCACGAGCATCCTTGATCACTATGGAGAAAGCGACCACCAAGAAGTTACAAATTTTGGAAGAAAATATTTGCTTTACAAGCTCCGATTTCTTGGTGCCCGCTTTTGACTCAAAGCAGGTGTTAATGCTTTTGACTTGTCTTGTAAACGATGCCGAGCAAAGTCCACCCGTGTTTACGACTCGTAAATTACAGAATCTAAGTTTCGACCGAATTCCTGGCTTCTTAATTACGTGCTGTTGTCCTCTTACCCAACGGAGTTGTACTTCAAAGACTCAGTGGCCATGCGCGGTGAAGTGGGTGCACAGTTTGATGAAACAACTTGTTTCACTGGTCATGTTTAGGTCAAACGGGAAATGATTCGGCGAGACCACTAAAATCTGAAAATAATATTCGACGACTTTTAACCTCACTCGTGAGTTTCACAACTCAGGCATGACGAGAAAACTACTGGAGTCCTCCAGTTCACCCACCGACCAAAACGGGGCGTTGGGTCTTCGATTTTCATCCGAGTTAAAACCTGAGCTTACTTTCTTCACCCAAAAAATAAGACCACACGGTCACATTGCCCATAATGTAACCAATTTATTTTGGGATTATCCTCTAACAATTCCCTTTTTATGATACATTAGACATCTTTTAATTAGGTATTTACAGTTTTATGAAGGATTATAATTTCTTAATTAATTTGCTAGGTTTAAATGATGTTTTCCCATTGTTACAAGTCTGATGACAGGTCATCTTAAAAACCCTCTTTCTCCCTGGCAAAAAGTACATCTCCGGTCCCCTCATCAATATATACATAAGCGAAAAAACCCGACAATAAATTAAAAAATGTACAAATATATTGAGTAATAATTATAATACGTCAAGAATTCCACTTAAATAAGAATATCACAGGCCGTATGAGTCGCAAATAAGTTACGTTTTGAAGAAAGATCACCCACTATTCTTAAAAAATACATCTTCCACAACAAACACCTTCAACCAAAGTTCTTCAAGATCATTAGTGCAGTACACGTCCTGCATGTTCATCACACTTTAAAGCGATTTTACAGAAGAGAAACCAAATGGATGTTACACGTTGTATAAATATGTTAGTATGTAGCATTATATGTAGCTTGAAACAGGCTGTTTTAAATACACTCTTGTACCATTGTTAGCTCTAACCCAGTGTAAAATCTAAAAATATTTTCACTTCAGTTTCAGTAGAGACACTACCAGGTGAATTATATTGATGTGTCAAAACAAATTTCCCGAAAATTCATATGCTTAAATAAGTGAACTGAAATAAGTAGAAACATTTTCTGTATAGCAACCCCCCCCCCCACCCCACCCACCCCAACCCAACCAATCCGCACTTGCTACTTTGAAGAGACAAGTTTCAAATTGGTGTGGAAGCTAATCCAGGATTGCATTAGCTTGGTTTTATCAAATCCAAAACTAAAAACTATAGGCGACCAAGCTGTCTTATTTGGCTTTAGTGACGACTTTTACCTCATTTTTAACCTGACACTAAATCAAAGTGCTTCTGATTGTTTAGTTCATTTTGCTGTAGTTTGCCCAATAAGTGCTACGTACGAATAAAAACTGCTATAAGCAACATTTTAAGACCTTAATCAAACTTAAGTCTCGGACAGGCTTAAGGGTTGCCATTTTCTTTAACCACTCGGTCAGAGAAAAAGGCATGAACTGCTGTGAGGTAAAACTGAATACATTTTAACAATCAGAATGGTCAGCAGAGTAGAACGAATGGAAATTCAACCTCCTTTCCAAGATCGTTTGCTCTCCTCTCTTTAGGAAAGAAGAGAAAACAACCTGGGAACAAGGTCGGGATTAATTCTAAGGGGTGACTGTGTGCGTATGAATTCGAGATATACCATAGTCAGATGTCGATTAAACCTTCCAACATAAATAACGAATGGTGAGTTTCTATGCAATTACTTCACTTGCACTGCTTCCGTATGTCTGGGACAGGATCCGTTGCGTCAATTTTCACTGGAGGCGTTACGAAAACCGTTACATTGAGTGAAATCATTGCTAGGGCCAGCGGTATTCTCTTGAGCGGCAGGCATGTCCCTTTTTTTAAGAGCCCACTGCATGGCCCAAATACTCAGCGGTCTCATGTACGCCAACGAGCGAAAGTTGCCATTAGCAATAATAGCCTCTGGAGTCTGGAAACCCATTCCAAGTCTCTCAAAACAAGTGTTGTATATACCACTAGCTGTTTTGAAGCCCTCGTCCACCAGACCCTAGAGAAAGAGAGATTTTGAGCCTCTTTTCTGATAAACTTTCCTTACGTAAATTGACGCATGATATTTCAGAAAAGTGATACTATACACAGCACCTCCTGAATCATAGCAGCTGCAACAGCGTAAGTGATCCCGGTCCAGACCTCCTCAGCCTGTAAACTGCTTGTATCTACCTATGAATTTACAATGGATTAGTCAAATCATCTTCAAGAGTGACAGCTTTCTACATTTTCAGTTATCTTCAGCGTCACTTGCCACACAGCCATGTCCAGCCTCAACCAGCCTTAACGCACTGGGGATATAGTCACAGAGTGTTCTCCAAAGCACGACTTAATTTCCGCCTTTTTAAAATAGAATGCAACAAGACTATTTTATACGCCACAGACAAGGACATCAGTGTCACAACACAATTTCATCACGTGTAGTTTCAAAATTGTTTTTGGAGGCGATCATATTCGTTGCAATCGACATGTAAAGTCAGACTTGTAGACACCACTGTTTTGAAAAATGATATGTTATCTAGTGAATAACACAGGCATACTAGGAGAAAAAGAAATCTGAGTATTCCTAATATGTGTCGAACCGTCGACCTTCCGATTAGTACTTGGGATGCTCTACCTTTGAGCTATGGGAGACTCGTGCCAGGCTAAGCTGTATAACTAGGTCCATGGTGAAATACTTCCTGCACGCGGCGAGGATCGATAGGAATGTCGACATGTGATGCTCATAATGTCAATGAAGATGGTAAATTCAAAGCCTACTGTTTGTTGTACAGAAGTAAAACAAGTTTTTCTAAACCTAAATAAAGAATCCCTTCTGACTATGTCGAAATTGACAAACCTGGCCATTAGGTCTCATGCCATTCACAGCACCCATCCTTCCATCTTGGAATTTAAGCACATTGTTCTTGTATACGGTTGTCAGAGCACTGAGTACATTTGCTTGTGGAAAAACCTATGAACAATGGTGAGAATTAGATAACAGAGAACTAACAATCTAAAATATTTCTAGCTATCTACTTTCAACCTCATAAATAAATGATCAAGCATTCCTGACCATGTAGGATATTTAGTTGCTTTTACAATTTTCCTCCGTGATAGGTCACCCCGCCCCTGGCCACGGTCGTGCGTTCTCGTCATATCATCACAAATTACTATTTCTTTCTCTCTTGTCTCCTATTACAGAAGTTTCATGTTGTCATTCACTGGCTAACAGTGTTAAGTGCCTCCTCAAATGTTTAAGTCAACTGTAACCACAGGGTACCATTAATAGAATATACTTTGCCGTCTTGGTCACATTAGATATTTCAATTTTATACCAGGTTCTTATCAACAAAGTAACTAATCCAGAGAGAAGATTATAGAGAGAATATAGAGTAAGAGAGTACATAAAGCTAAACAGATGAGAAATCACATTGGTTCCTATTGCCTCTGTTTCAGGTACCACCTTTATAATAGTTGCATCCCTTGTTTTACTTTGGGCTCAAAGCCCAGTTCAAACGCAGAGTCAGTGGTTTAACATTTGACGCGAGGCAGTGACAGGTATAGGTTATGACATGATTTCGAGTGCACTTTGGCGTTAAGAAGCACGAGTAAATTTTTCATAAACAAAAAATTGCACAAGCCCGTAGGGCAAGTGCAATTTGAAGTCTTTGAAAAATTTATGGGTGCTTATTTCACCAAATTGCCAGAGAAATCAGTTTATTACTTCTTAATAATGTACACGAAAAACCGTCAGAGAAAGTCAAGACAATCGGCACTCGTGTTACGTGAGAATGCACTCGTTTTCAGCCAATCAGAAG